ATAAAATACCCCGCTATTCCCTTTCGCAAACCAACCGTAGTTATAATATATAAGTGGTCCTTGCCAGCGGCACTGTTTGCGGTCCTTACGGAACCTAATTTTTGTATTTTTTGAGTAAACGGAGTAATAGATGAGGTTTTGTTAGCATAGACGAAGGCATATATAGGAAATAAGGCTTGATTTATTTAACATTGTAAATTGTAAAGGCATGACGTATAAAATTGTCGCAGATACGTAGTCCTTTTTCGAAAAGGACAGTCCATTTTTGAAAATGACTGTCCTTTTTTCAAATTGTCCTTGTGACTTTTCAAACCTTTAAATGTCCTTTTTAGAAACTATATTTTATTATTTTTCACGATTAACTTATTCGCAACAGCACCGGCCTAGTTCACACGCTCCCAGAAATGAAACCCATCTCAGTGCTGTTTTTTCTAATGCATCTTTTTACATGTGTGTAGCTGTCGATAATAAAAATTAATAAAAATTAATAAAAATTAATAAAAATTAATAAAAATTAATAAAAATTAATAAAAATTAATAAAAATTAATAAAAATTAATAAAAATTAATAAAAATTAATAAAAATTAATAAAAATTAATAAAAATTAATAAAAATTAATAAAAATTAATAAAAATTAATAAAAATTAATAAAAATTAATAAAAATTAATAAAAATTAATAAAAATTAATAAAAATTAATAAAAATTAATAAAAATTAATAAAAATTAATAAAAATTAATAAAAATTAATAAAAATTAATAAAAATTAATAAAAATTAATAAAAATTAATAAAAATTAATAAAAATTAATAAAAATTAATAAAAATTAATAAAAATTAATAAAAATTAATAAAAATTAATAAAAATTAATAAAAATTAATAAAAATTAATAAAAATTAATAAAAATTAATAAAAATTAATAAAAATTAATAAAAATTAATAAAAATTAATAAAAATTAATAAAAATTAATAAAAATTAATAAAAATTAATAAAAATTAATAAAAATTAATAAAAATTAATAAAAATTAATAAAAATTAATAAAAATTAATAAAAATTAATAAAAATTAATAAAAATTAATAAAAATTAATAAAAATTAATAAAAATTAATAAAAATTAATAAAAATTAATAAAAATTAATAAAAATTAATAAAAATTAATAAAAATTAATAAAAATTAATAAAAATTAATAAAAATTAATAAAAATTAATAAAAATTAATAAAAATTAATAAAAATTAATAAAAATTAATAAAAATTAATAAAAATTAATAAAAATTAATAAAAATTAATAAAAATAATTAATAAAAATTAATAAAAATTAATAAAAATTAATAAAAATTAATAAAAATTAATAAAAATTAATAAAAATTAATAAAAATTAATAAAAATTAATAAAAATTAATAAAAATTAATAAAAATTAATAAAAATTAATAAAAATTAATAAAAATTAATAAAAATTAATAAAAATTAATAAAAATTAATAAAAATTAATAAAAATTAATAAAAATTAATAAAAATTAATAAAAATTAATAAAAATTAATAAAAATTAATAAAAATTAATAAAAATTAATAAAAATTAATAAAAATTAATAAAAATTAACAAAAATTAATAAAAATTAATAAAAATTAATAAAAATTAATAAAAATTAATAAAAATTAATAAAAATTAATAAAAATTAATAAAAATTAATAAAAATTAATAAAAATTAATAAAAATTAATAAAAATTAATAAAAATTAATAAAAATTAATAAAAATTAATAAAAATTAATAAAAATTAATAAAAATTAATAAAAATTAATAAAAATTAATAAAAATTAATAAAAATTAATAAAAATTAATAAAAATTAATAAAAATTAATAAAAATTAATAAAAATTAATAAAAATTAATAAAAATTAATAAAAATTAATAAAAATTAATAAAAATTAATAAAAATTAATAAAAATTAATAAAAATTAATAAAAATTAATAAAAATTAATAAAAATTAATAAAAATTAATAAAAATTAATAAAAATTAATAAAAATTAATAAAAATTATTAAAAATTAATAAAAATTAATAAAAATTAATAAAAATTATTAAAAATTATTAAAAATTATTAAAAATTATTAAAAATTATTAAAAATTATTAAAAATTATTAAAAATTATTAAAAATTATTAAAAATTATTAAAAATTATTAAAAATTATTAAAAATTATTAAAAATTATTAAAAATTATTAAAAATTATTAAAAATTATTAAAAATTATTAAAAATTATTAAAAATTATTAAAAATTATTAAAAATTATTAAAAATTATTAAAAATTATTAAAAATTATTAAAAATTATTAAAAATTATTAAAAATTATTAAAAATTATTAAAAATTATTAAAAATTATTAAAAATTATTAAAAATTATTAAAAATTATTAAAAATTATTAAAAATTATTAAAAATTATTAAAAATTATTAAAAATTATTAAAAATTATTAAAAATTATTAAAAATTATTAAAAATTATTAAAAATTATTAAAAATTATTAAAAATTATTAAAAATTATTAAAAATTATTAAAAATTATTAAAAATTATTAAAAATTATTAAAAATTATTAAAAATTATTAAAAATTATTAAAAATTATTAAAAATTATTAAAAATTATTAAAAATTATTAAAAATTATTAAAAATTATTAAAAATTATTAAAAATTATTAAAAATTATTAAAAATTATTAAAAATTATTAAAAATTATTAAAAATTATTAAAAATTATTAAAAATTATTAAAAATTATTAAAAATTATTAAAAATTATTAAAAATTATTAAAAATTATTAAAAATTATTAAAAATTATTAAAAATTATTAAAAATTATTAAAAATTATTAAAAATTATTAAAAATTATTAAAAATTATTAAAAATTATTAAAAATTATTAAAAATTATTAAAAATTATTAAAAATTATTAAAAATTATTAAAAATTATTAAAAATTATTAAAAATTATTAAAAATTATTAAAAATTATTAAAAAATTATTAAAAATTATTAAAAATTATTAAAAATTATTAAAAATTATTAAAAATTATTAAAAATTATTAAAAATTATTAAAAATTATTAAAAATTATTAAAAATTATTAAAAATTATTAAAAATTATTAAAAATTATTAAAAATTATTAAAAATTATTAAAAATTATTAAAGATTATTAAAAATTATTAAAAATTATTAAAAATTATTAAAAATTATTAAAAATTATTAATAAAAATTAACAGTACCATCAGTAAAAATAGTCTCATAATATTTGATAATATCTTCTAAAAAGTATAGAACAGCATCATCTCTAGAAAATGATTTATCGGCACTAGGAACAATATTATATGCTGTCACTGTTCTAAGCGGTTAGGATCCTATAAGAAACATTTACAATGACACAATTGGGGTTCAACAAAAAAATAACAGTAACAACTCTTTATCTAACATTAAAATTATTGTTGTTTGTAAGTCAGGATCTATGACTGTAAAATTTTATATTATAGAAACTTGTAATAAAATAAAAGTACATACAGTAGATACATATTGTGACTAGTTTACAATAAATATTATATTTAGACATAAATACATTATTTTACTTACATTAGAAGCTTCAAAAAGATATTGAATTGATGTATCCTTGTGTTTTCTTTAGTTTTACATTTGATTTGTATACTGTTTTACAATCTGGAACGTCATCAATCTTACTTAAATGTTATTTGTCACTCATGTTACTTGTACTTAGATACTTTTTTTTCACATTATTTTGATTCTTTTCACGAATTTTTTAAAAAATCACTTCATCTTAAATTGACTTACATAGAAAATTGACACCGCTGTTATTCGACATGCCAACTACAGTCAAAAAGAAGGACGGAAACTTGAAATTTGACCATTGTCGATTCGCCTCCTTCCCTCTAGTCTTCATAAGAATTACCACTAATAAGTGTTAAATTTAATTTTGATGTTCCTTTTTAGTGCATTTCGATACGCACGTGTGGAAGCCAAAGTATCAAATAATTACCTCGCTATTGCCGCGTTTGAGAATCCACATCGGATGCATTTTTTACATCTCGAGCATTTTTTTATCCACATCGGACACATCTACTACATCTACATCTGCGTTTGTTTATCCCAGATGTACCTGTTCAGGTTACATTTTTTACATCTCGATTTGAAATGAGATGTGAATGAGATGTTCGTTCCATGTCAGAAAGTAAGTGTTCTGTGAAGCCTTGTTTGTCAATTTATCCTTTGTTTATGCTAGCATGAATATAAAAGTGATTAGTTTGTATAATTTTTGTTTATATTTCAAATTTAGGTTGATTTGTAGTCTCAAAAGTCAAATTTAATAAGTATAAACTTCTAACTTGTCATTGACATTTTATCACGTGACCAAATAAAGTCTAGAGCGTTTGTTTATTACATCTACATTCAGATATAATTCTCTATCACGTGATAAAAAATTCACAACATCTCAGATGCATCCGATGTGGATTCTCAAACGCGGCATAAGTGGCTTGATTTTGTTGATCTGCTTTGTTCTTCCAGTTGTTGTTCATTGGTTTTGACAGGCTATGATGTGGCAAAATTATGGCAACCCTGTAGGCCTGGTTATTTGACAAGATCAATGCAATAAATAGTCACATAGATTGATCCATATTTTTCAAAATAAACATAAGCTTATGATTATTTTTTTACTATATTCGAAGGCTGAATATGGGTTTGTAAACAGATTTTTGCAGAACCGATTCTGCTTAGGGCCGATTCCACTGTTGTGTTAAACGAAGTTTAAAATAACATTTTTACATTAACAATGTCATTTTAATCTCCGTTTAACACAACGGTGGAATCGGCCCCTAATGAGCAATTACGAGGAAATATGGCCACTCGCAAACGACCCGCTTTGAGCAATCTATATAACTATATATGTACCATTGACCCTGTCAATGACAACACACAGGGTTGCCATTTCTAAAATGTCAGTTCCCACTTTTCAGCAGTTTGACAGGTCTTTGGAATGGCTAATTGATGCTGCGTTTGAGAATCCACATCGGATGCATTTTTTACATCTCGAGCGTTTTTTTATCCACATCGGATACATCTGTCCCATTACATTTACGTATACTGAATCACGTGATCAAAGATTTTTTACATCTCAGATGCACCGATGTGGATTCTCAAACGCGGCATGAGTTGGTACCATGTTCTGTGGTTGGTACTGGTTGGTTGGTTGGTTGGTATCCTCCATGGTTGGTATGTTGTGTTTTGTTTTTGTATTTTTAGATTTGTATTTTTTTGACAGAATGAAATAATGAATATTATTTACCGGAGTGTGCGAAATCATAGCAATTTAAATGTAAATGTATTGCTGCATAGTGCAGTAAACAATAGATTATTGATTTATAAGAATATTAGTATTTGTTCTCAGAGGATAAATTTAGAAAAAAAATCGTGTTATGATTACTCCTACAAAAAGAGATGGTACTCTGAAAACAATTCCGGACCTCCATCCAACAAACTACCTTCTTTATTACCTGATTTTCCTGTTATTGTTTGGCCTTCTTTTCTAAAAACTTTAAAAAACTTCGTTCTTTTCAATTTTATTATAAAACCATACTTAGATAATGAATTTAGTCTTCCGGATTTCGTTGGCGCTTCTAAAAAAGCAGTGGAGGTATTTTAAAAGAAATTGAACCTTTTTAATTCAGTATACCTAATTATTAATTTTTAGGTAGTCTCAAGAAAGTTAGCCGAGGGCGATGTTAAATCATTAGATGGTCTAGTAACAAATGATATAATTTCTAGTCTTCAAAAGGCTCTATCACTAATGTCTTTGAGCCAGAGAGAGCAGATAGCAATTAATGTTGAAGACATTTACTTTTCATTTCCTTATCAAGTAGGTTTAATAAGAATGTTTTATAAATATACTTATATAATGAATTCCACAATCATTGGAGGGCATTTCGACCATTTAAGTGGCTGTACTTATCGAATATCTGAAATTCTTGAAAATCCCACACAAATAAAGAATAAGGCCATAATAAATGTATAAGCTTAAAATGTTTTACGTCCATAGGATACATGTACAAGTATATGATGTGCTCTTGTATGTCTATAGGATACCTACATATATAGTTTGTGCTCTTCATGAAATGTATAGATAGCTGAACTTAAAATGTGCTGCTTTTAAATTGTACTAGTAGATAAAAATGAGTTTATTACATCCTACATCAAAACAGAATGTGTTGATTTTGTATCACAATTTATGATCCTACAGAAAGACGCATCTGTTTAAAAAAGTAATAAAGAATAAAATGTTACAAAGTACTGAATATAGTAAATTAATTTTTTTTAACTACCTACTTCTATACTCCTATTAGATACAAAAAAATAGCAACATCTGGACATTTTGGGGCAAAATTCATCAAAGACTCAGACAATTCATGTAATTATTGTGTTAATTTTGTCTAGAAGTATCCTATTTTTAATGTAAAATTGATAAGAAAAAATTTTTACAAGTTGATAAATAGGTAGTTTTAGAAAATATAAGGGAAAATGTGGAGAGTCAAGTTTTATTTTTTTTTTTATTTGTATTTTACAAGTTTTGCTATAATCACTATTAGATTAGATTTAAAAGTATCTGGACATTATTTTGTCCTTGTCCACAGTGACCTTTCCAGATCTATTTGTTATTTTAGAGTATGCCGTCTAGCTTGGTCTTTTTTATTAGACTTAGTAGCCTTAACAGTTACTCCCGCATGTAGTTGTATGCATCTGGTTTTTCTTCACCTAGTGTTAGAAACCTCAATTTAATCAGGCCTTCACACTGGCAAAAGGCATTGGAATGTATGGATAGAATGCATAAGGCGAATGAATGAAAAGGAGTTGGGCATCCAAATGTTAGTACCATAATCTTGATTGGGGGAGCCTGCAGGAAGGGGAGCAGAGAGATGTTTGAAAGAGTAACAAAATATATGTAAAAATAATGAGTTTTAAATGACGTTACCAAAATTGGGAGTTTTCATCACCAAAATAGATTATATCATGAATAGGATTAAAATTGCAACACTAAATATTTTCATAAAATCACCATATTTATTAGAAAATGTATTTAGAATGTATTTTATATTTCATAAGAGACTTTTCTACTAAGTTGTTCTCTTCTCTGAACATCTATTAATGTAGGGATCTTCTACACAGTAATAAATAGAAAATTGGTTGTCAAAATTATAAAATTGTAATTTTGGTCAATAAAAATCTGCATTTCTAACCAATCATTGAGTCTTATACTGATTAAACCTTTTCTTCGTCATTGTTTGTGATAAAACTAGGGGTGCTGAGTATATTTATTGCTCATTTATAAAAATAGAAAACTGTCTTATTTTTGTGCCCACCAAATCATGGGATCTCCATTTTTGATATTTTCTCTAATTTAATGTAAATTTTAAGGTCCTTTAATTTTATTTATAATATTGCCACAATTTATCAAATCACCACCATTCCTATATGGTGGTAATTTACTTGCTGTCATACAGGTAATGTATTCCAAAACAAACCTTGAGGAACATTAAAAATATCGCTACTATGAGAACAATTTAAAGATTAGGTGTCTATACATACACACCATAATTATGTTGTTAGACTCAAAAGCACAAATTTAAAAAAAATAAATAAATCATGGGTATGACACTAGAGATTTCTCAAATAAATCAATTAAAATTTTATGAAGCAAATGAGTTAGTTATTTAAGAAATGTGCAAATTATTTAGGACTGAAATGTTATAATTCACTTCCTACTCAAGTTTCATTGACGGGATGAAATATAAAATATTTCTTCTCTTATTAGTCCTTTACCTAGGTGTCAGAATTGAAATATATGTTTCATTATTATATATAAGTTACTGATATTGTACAATATTATCAATTTTGAGTTCAATCTACACTATTTAAGAATTATCATCATGATTTCGAGGCTTTTATGTATATGGAGTAGCGAAAAAGTCTGGCAACAATATATTATCTTTGAAACGAATGTATAATTATGAAATTGTGGGATGAGAATGGGACTGTATTACATTTTTGTTGGGTTTTTTTTTTGATCCTATATATACAGAGTAGCGAACAAGTCTGGCAACATGGTATTTTAGGGTGATGAATGGGACTGTATTACATTAGTAATGCGGTACTTTTATTATCTTTTCTGTGATATATTACTCTGCCTACGTTACTATTTAAAAATAAATTCAAGATGCCGGTGGTAGGCTAAACGCCGATGTCACATAAATTTGAGGTCCTTTAAAAAATGCATAATTCAATCACATTCGCATCATCCTACAATTTCATAATTATTGTATCTTTAATGTGTACATAAAATACAAAAAAAAATAACTATATGAAATCAAATATGTGTGCCAGATAATGGATACCCAACTATCGGATTGCCAGCACACATATATTTATATCCGATTTTATTTAGCTTTAGTTCTGATATTTTTACTACTTCAGTGGTGTAGCAAGAATGGTTTTGTCAACATGAACGACAACGAACTATTAGCCGCACAAAACCTAATCCCAGATCAAGATCTTCATTCCCTTATCATGATAATGCCATGAACCGTGATCTTGTTACTGAATTGTTGTAATCCGCAAGAAAATTAGTTATATATAACTAATTGGGAAATAAAGTATAACTACCAACTATTTATTCTATTTTTTTAGGTCGGAATAATATTTAATGACGAAGAAGGCAAAGATCAAAAAAGATTTGTTGAAATAACTATGGTATACCACACTCTTAAAGGATTATCTAATATGAGGTCTAGAGGGGAAGAGCCACCTTTAAATATGGGCATGCTTCCAGAATATCAAAAGTTAATTTCAATATGTAATTATAGATTCATCAGAGAATTCACGAAAGGAGTTGATGACCAATGGACTGTAAACTTACTGAATCACTTTAAACCTTCTGACGAATTATAATTGGAATTGTTTCAAATTGGGGATGTTAACAATTAAATTAGTGAAATATATTTTTTAATTTCAATCGGGTATTTATTTAAGTTAAATCAAAACTGAAAAATGGTCGTCTAACAAAATAAAACTGCTTGTGACGATAGACCAAAATTTTAAACCCTTGTAATTTAAGGCGAGAGTTTAATTGCATTTAATTTCAGTTCCAAATGAATTTGAAAAGTATAAAAGATAGAGATAAGAATTGGTAGACATTTATGAAATAAATCACAGCAGTTGCTGACACCAATATAAATAATGCAACTTTGAGTAGACGTCTTCATATACCACAAATTAAACTAAAGCACGAATTTTGAGCCACGTGTATTCTTTTAACGTGGAAAGAGTCAAGACATGATCCATAATGAAATTGTAAAACATATTAAATCTAAAGCATATCAGTGATGACTTAAATATTAAAATTATTCTTCTGTGTTGTCCATTTATACACATTTAATAAATGAATGCAAAAAGCTTTTTGTAGTGCCAATACCCAAAATTTCACGTCCCTCCGAGTTTCCCCACTTATAAGGAGTATTAAGTATTTTTTCTTGCATTGTCAAAAATATTGAAGAAAATTATAGAATGGCAAATAAGAACACATATAGCTAACAATACATTATTACCTAACAATCAGTCTGGCTTTAGTTGCTCTACAGCTCTGGCTATAATAACTGATAACTAGATAAAAGTGAGGTAAATATTTTAATTTTGATAGACTACTCCAGAGCGTTTCATATATTAAACCATTATTCCAAAACTTACTATCTAGCTTTTACATCATATTCCTCAAACTTACCAAACTACAGTATGATTAAACTCTGTATAAATAACGAATTAATAGAAATTAAAAATACCAATTACACAAAATGTTTGGCAGTCATGGACGACCAACATTTAAAATAGGATAATCAATGCCACTATGTTACAAAAAAAACTTAGAAGCTTATTGTATAAATTTAGGAAATTTCGTGATATTTTGGACGATTCACAGTTGAGAGTTCTGTACTAGGGTCCGATTACAATTAGAAGAACACAGCTACGTCATCATTTGGCAAAGTAATTAATTGGTTATCGCCGACTACTGGGGGCTTAAAGGAGTGAATATTATAGGCAATATTGTTTTATACCTAACAATTTACTTATTTATTGATAGTTCTAGATACTATGTATTTGAAGTAATGGTTATGACATAGCGGTGTTCTTCTAATTGTAATCGGACCCTACTCGTAAATAGAATCTCATCTTTCTTATGGCCTCATAGCATGGGGAAGTGCATTAGAGACTCATTTACATGACGTAGAAGTAATACAAAAACTTTTATTAAAATTTATTTTTAAGAAACCATTTAGGTATTCCTCAAATGATTTATTTTTAGAAACTAAAATAATGGATATTCGAAAACTGTTTAATAAAATTGTTATAATATATCAACATCTTCATAAAAATGAATTAAAAAAAAATTATATTTAAAAAATGAGTGATTCAAGCTAATTTGAAGATATAAATAATACACCACCGGATATTTTGGAACAGGTTAATGCAACAGTACAATCTCTATTACCCCAAAAATCTAAAGAAAAATACGAAAAACAGTATTTACATTTCAAGCAATGGGCCGAAAAAAAGCATATTCGTACTTACTCAGAAAATGTTATTTTGGAATATTTTTCGCTATTAGCAAATACATTAAAAGCATCTACATTGTGGTCCAAGTATTCAATGCTACGTACCATGCTTTAATAAAAGAAAATGTGGATATTAAATACCCAAAATTAATTGCTTTCTTGAAAAGACAAAACCAGGGATATAAACCTAATAAGGCAAAAACCTTCTCAAGAAAGGAAGTAAATAAATGTTTACTAGAAGCCCCCGATAATAATTATTTATTAATGAAGGTAAGATATTTTAAAGAAGTAAATATATTTAAAAAATAAAAGTTAAACTGCAAATATAATAGAGCTACAACAATACGATATGTTTAGAATTCCGCAAAAGTTGCCTGCAAGTTCCGGTAGCGCAATTAGTTGGTGCACCACTCACTGTCCATGATATGCTTGTAGGTGTTGGTTCAAATTCCAGCGTCGACGGCTTTTTTTTTTTAAATTGTTTTATCTTGTTTTGTAGGTTCTCCTCATTTTCGGAATTTCAGGAGCATACAGATGTGACGAACTCCTTAAAATGGCCACTACAGATATTGAAGATAAAGGTTCCATTTTGATAGTAAATATACCACATTCTAAAACAAATATACAGAGAACGTTTGTAATCAATGCTTCACCGGGGAATGGCCCTAATTATATTGAAATTTATAGAAAATATATATCGCTACGCCCTAAAACAGATCAGACTCGTTTATTTGTCTGCTATAGAGCAGGAAAATGTATCAACCAAATGGATGAAAAAAATACTATTGCTAAAATTCCTAAAAAAATTGCAGAATTTTTAAAACTGCCTAATGCCATAAATTATACCGGGCGTACTTTCAGAAGAACCCTCGGCAAGTTTACTTGCAAACTCTGGAGGAGACATTCATGCTTTAAAGCAACACGGAGGTTGGAAGTCTACTGAAAGGGATCGTATTTAATTCCGTCCCCGTTGAATGGCAATATAAAGCATCCACCTGTTCTATCGCTTTTGACCGCGGAAAATTACAGGAACCAAAGTCGTGGATGCGCTGGAACAGAAGCAGGGAATCATCGTCATAGGAACGGGAATTGATTATTGAATGTGAGGATTGAACGTGGAGAATGGAAGGTCCGTCATTGTTAAAAGGGTTTAGTTTTTTTCGTTAGTTTTATTTGTAATAAGTGCCTTTTTAAATCAATTATTATGTTTCAATTACTTTTATATTTAACTAGTTGATGATTCACTATTTAGTTTCGAATTTCACTGTTATAAGTAATTTCATGCTTTTTCTTGACGGCATTTTTTTTTTGTATCTGTCATAAAAAATTGCTTGCATTCCAATAACGAGTTTATTTGATTTTATGACTTATTTTACTATCTAAATCAGTGAAAAATAGCATCCTTTTAATATTTTAATTTAAATATTTTTGAAGATCATTGATATTTTGTAGTTATACCAAGGAAAATTTGCTATAATTTTTATTTGACATTGAGATTATTTTTTTTTAGTCATTTTTAAAGTTCGGCAAGGAAAAAGTAATATATTAGTAAATTATGTGTTTTTCTAACATCAGATATTCACAGCATTGGCAGATCTAAGTTAAAAGTATGAAATGCCTTGTTGATTGATACTAACATTTTCGCCCGTGGCTGGGACAACATCGGGATAGGTGTCTCGGTAAAGCTGTATAGCTTCCCCATTACCTTGTCCCTATTAACCCTGTAATGTTTAATATTGTTGGGGTAATGAATAAAACACAATGCTGTCTTAACACAATATATTCCACCCAAGGTCTGTACACGAATGCCGTGGTATTGGCGTCGTATATTTGACTTCCGCGAATCGTTTACATTATCAGAATACTACATCTCTTCCTTGTTTTATAAATATTAACTTAATACAAACACAACCCAATTAAGAAGAACATAGTAATACATTAACTAGTAATACAATAAGTATTAATACAATAACTTAAGATCTACCTTAACTTATAACAAATAAGGTAACAGAAATACAACTTACTCTTAATGATAACAATTATAGCAATATCTAAGAAACTTTAACTTAAGTACTAATAAAAGAAATGAAATTATATGGAGAAGAATAAAATAACAATGATGGGGTATAGGACTTATTTCAAATAATGTCTATTGACTAAGATACAATATGTGAATTTAAATTGTTTAGCCAAGCTCAGATGTTTCCGCAGGTTTCTTTTCTTCTGATACTTTCCATTCCCCATCAACTTTTTTTAAATGTACGATGTTCCTCCTTAATTCTTGTCCTGTTTCCTCAATTCTTACTTGAACATCTCCGCCGTTTTTATTTGTGATAGTATAAGGAGTGGGGACAAACGTTGGACTGGTTTTGTTCTCTCTTTGCATGTCCTTTATATAGACTTTATCTCCCTCTTGAAAATTGTTCTCTTTTGCCCCTCGTTTTCTGTCACTATACTCTTTAGCTTTTTCTAACTTATCTTTATCGCTTACTTCATTTTCTGTTTTATTTTCGAAGTCTACCAGACTTGGAATTTTATCTTTGAATTGTCTACCGAAGAAAAGTTCACCTGGAGTTTTACCTGTTATGGAATGTGGAGTACTATTATACATTACTAAATAAGTTAAAAGATCTTTTTTCCAGTCTTGTTTTAGCGAGTTACTTATTTTTATTCGCTTTAAAATATCCGTTTTGTCTTTCGACTTCGCCGTTTTGTTGTGGCCAGTACGGTATGGTGTGAAATAAGGTGATTCCATTTAGACGGACAAAATGTAGTTAATTGCTTACTAATTGTCTACCATTGTCCGCAGTTATTGATGATGGGAAACCTATTCTTGAGAAAATTTCTTGAAGTAAGTCGACAGTTTTTTTAGCAGTGATCTCTTTTGTAATTTTGACCTCTTTGTAACGACTGTAGTAATCTATAACAACTAGTAGATACTCTTTGGAAGGTAAAGGCCCCAGGTAATCGATTGCAATATCTATCCATGGTTTAGACGGCAAGTCTCTCCTTTTCATAGGGTTTGGTAATGTGGGTGTTGATACTAAAATACATCCTCTGCATGTTCGGACTAGTTTTTCTGCATCATTGTCGATTTTGGGCCACCATACCTTTGTTCGCAGTCTGGCTTTCATTGATGAGATTCCGGGATGTCCCTCATGTGCTGCTAGCAAAACATCCTTACGTAATTTAATGGGGATTACAAGTTTACTTCCTCTTAATAATATACCCTCATGAAAACATAGCTCTGATTGAAAGATCTTATAGACATTTACGGTTTTATCCCAATCGTTTTCAAGTAAACCTTTCGTGACCTTTTTGATTTCTTCGTCTATTTCTGAATGATATTTTATATCAGACAGTGAAATGGCAGCCGGACAAGAGTATTCTATTATTTGATTAACTGTTTCTTTTTCAAATGGTTCCGAAGGATATAATGCGCATAATCTTGAGAGAGAATCCGCGATATTTGATTTTCCTGGACGATAGATTATCTTAAAATTATATGATTGCAGTCGCAGAGTCCATCGTTCAATGCGAACATTAGGTTTGGCTTTTGGCCCGAAAATTACCTCTAGGGGTTTGTGATCGGTTACTAGTTCGAACTCCCTTAGGCCATACAAGTACATCTTGAAATGTTCAACTGCCCAAACCAAAGCTAAGGCTTCCTTTTCGGTTTGACAATATCTTTTCTCGCACATAGTCAAACTTTTGTTACCATAGGCGATGACTCGAGGGCCTCTTGAGTTGAATTGTAGTAATATGCACCCTAAAGCTACAGGACTAGCGTCTGCAATCACTTGTGTTCTGTCAGTCGGATTATAATATCCTA